GGAATTCCGAGTCTCGGATGCACGAAATGTGAAGAATTAGGGCTGCGGAGACGAATTTTTGGTATGTAAGTTATGAATGAAAGTTGCTGCTTCAGCGACTCGATATTTCTTCTACATGCTGAGAGATGAGCTGCAAATAACTCCGTGAAACAAAGTAGATTTCGCAGTCTAACCTGTGTCTAATAAAGATTTGACAGAAAATGAAATGACAGTTAAATTAAAAATTATGAGATCGAAGATTTGGAATGGTTGCAGAAAAGCTCTTAAAAACTAGACCAGAGAGCTACGGCGTATCTCGTCGGCTCGCCTGTTTGAGTTCCATGCTATTTTAAGGTTTTGACAGATCGAGGCTGCAGTTTATATTCGCCACACGGGCTTTTTGTGAGTTCTGTCAAAAAAAAATTTGGAAAGATGGCGTTTTAGGAAACTGCCTGCATCCCTCATTTTTAGAAGCGACTGTCCCCAATCATGGTTCCATAATTGATAATTTCTTCGCATTTCCCGTTTTTGCGGAAAATGCTTCCCGTCCTTGAGAGACCTGGCACTTGCTTGGACTGGAAATAGAAGAGAAAGAACATAGAGAAGTTCTGTTCGTGCTCCAAGTCTATTAAGTTGCTGCATTGAATTGACCAAGGTACCAGGAGACAAATGTAAATTGTAAACTAAATCAAGATGATAAACGCGAAGTTCCAGCTTTTATGCACTTTTTGCATCTATGCAGTGCAAAAACGCAAACTGTCGAGGGGTGTGTGTACGTCTATACCGATTTTTCATCTCGAGACCCAGAAAAGCTACAAGGCTGAAAATTTGGTGTCTTGATCTGGACGCATTTACGAATCTTTATCCCAAAAGTGGATGCCATGCCCAAGTGGTTCCCACATACGGGCCCGTGAAACTTTCTAATGTGTAAGCTGCTAACTCGGGAATCAGAAAAGATAGAAAACTTAAATTTTAAATGGTTGTTCCCCTTCCGCGCAGAATCCAATGACTTCAGATTCAGCCCCCAAGTGCAACTAAGTTTTCACGTGCTGGTCTGTGAGTGGACAAGTTACTAATTTGGCTAAAGTTGATGATGTTTTCTGAAGTCGTGATGGTCGGTCTCAGTTCTTTTAGCTAGAAGCATCTGCTGGCAAAGCAGCACCGTTTGCGGCAAAAACCTGAAGGAAACTGGGCAAAAGACACTTCTTCGCATCGGTAGTCGGTGTGCTAGCCAGTTATATATCTTACTGTATGGTAAAGGACTCAGGGTTCAAAATAAAATCTTAAAATATTTGAAAAGTAACTGTAAAGTGACAAATAGAAAAATATGTTATAAAACATTATATAAATGATCCTGCTAGGACCTTTTTTGTAGAAACATTGGAAACTAAACGCTTCGGCGTTATGTTCCGACGTCGTTCCAAATATAACACAAAAACTCTGCCGGGAAATATCTTCCCGTGGACCCCATCTCTCTGCACGATCGGACTGACCTGTGACAGCGATTATTGATAATACACTTGGACACTTTCGTATTTTGATCCGTCGTATCTATTTCTAACAAAGGCTGGAACGCACCAGGCGAGCCGGTGCGATCATGCGTTTTTGCATCAAAACTAAA